GTGGGGTAGCCGGAAACGCCCGGGGTACCTGGCAACCCATGGGCACATCAGGAGCTAGTGCTAATGGGCGATACCGTGGCAGGGAGGGTTCTGCTATAGAGATAAAGGTGTCTGAACAGGAACAGGCGTCTGCGGGAGGAACTGGAAGGACTCTGGACTCCCTCAGTCCTCCTAGACCCTGGACTCCCCCTCCCAACCTGACCAGGAACCCCAGACCCTCTGTGTGTTGTGGGCCAGCCTGGCCAGGAGGGACGGGGGTGCGGGGAAGCCCCTGTCTGCTGACGCCAAACAAAGCCCGTGCTCTTTCCAGCCAGCCTGGTGCTGAGGGCCCTGGAGCAGCAGTGGTGGAGCCTAGAGTGCAGCGCCAGGACCTGCCCTGGGCAGGGGAAGTCTGCAGGCCGCAGCCACTCTGCCTCCTTCTAACCTCATGGCACAAACCCAGCCATTAGAGCGGCCTGGGCAGGCGGGCGCTGGGGCGGCCTGGCCAAGCTTTGAGGGGCAGGCCCTGCTCCAAGCTGCCGACTCAGGAGGCCAGAGTAGATCTGGCCAAGAAGGGCATCTGACTACCTCCAAGTGCCAAAGTGCCGCATCCTCAGAGAATAGGGCTGGTGTGGAGGCGACTCTCGACTGCGGCCACACCCTCGCTGAGAGGTACACGCTAGGAAACAGTCCAGAGGACAGGGCCAGAGAGTCTAGGACAAGAAGGCAGTGCTGGCGTCACCCTCACACCCTCTGGGCTCGTTTATTAAAAACACACACAAACAGTGACCGAGAACTGCAGGCAGGGTGAGACAAACTCGCCCTCTGCAAGGTGATCAAAGATGACCTTGGTTAGAGGCCAGAGGCACGAAAATCAATGAATGAGGCTGGCTGCTGCCCTGGCCACTGAGGGGACACAAGGGGGATCCACCGCAGTCAGAGTAGCAGGAGGGGAGCCCCCGCTGTGTGGCTCGGTGGTGATCTGGAATGAACACGCCTGTGCCAAGAGAAAAAAGCTGGAAAAGCGAATACAGGGAAAGCCCTGCAACCTTCTCCTGAGAGATGGGATCCTGTCTGGGAGCCAATTTATCCATATTAGGTTTCTCTGCTTAGTGGAATTCCAATAAAACATCAGTTTTTAAAATTTAGGTGAAATTCACATACCAAAATTCACCATTTTAAAGTGAGCAACTTCAGTGGCTTTTGCACTTTCCCAGTGTTGTGCAATTGCCACCTCTATGTCCAGAATATCCTCACCATCCACAAAGAAACCCCATTAGCAGTCTCTCCGTAACCCCTCCCCTAGCCCCTTCGCCTGTGCCTGCAAATGTAGAGGAACAGACCCCCTTGGAAAGGGCCTCACCCCCACCCCAGGCAGGAGTCAGGGGAGGGAGGTCTGCTCAGATGCAGCCCTAGCGCACCCCCCCCCCCACGCAGGCCCAGATGGTGCCCTCCGACCTCCATCAGCACAAACCTGGCAGAAGCACAGTTGCAACCTCATCTCCAAGTACAGGGCAGAGCCTGAAGGAGAAGCGAGAAGGTGCGCCTGGCACCGGGAGGAGCAAGGTGCCTGGAGCAGGGTGAGAGCCCCAAGACAGGGAAAGGCAGGGAGAGGGACCCTCCCCAGGCTACCAGGCAGTCACAGGACCTTCAAGGTAAGGCTCCCACCTGGGCAGAACCCTCATCATTCAATGTCACTCGGTTCTTCATTCAACAAAACACCCTTCAGAGCTGTCGTAGCTAGACCAGCCCTCAGGAGCCAGGATGGCATCGGCCAGGCAGTGCCCTTGGCCTTGGTGGAGGGGAGGTGGCAGTTGGGCTTGGGGAGGCAACCCTGCCCCCGAGGCCAGGTGGAGGAGGGGCGGATGTGGATCTGGCTGTCTCCCCAGGTCTCCATCTCCATCTAGCCCTGAGATCCACGTTTCTGCCGGAGCCCTGAGAAGTGACCAGTGAAGATCCTATTTTCAATGTCATCCAATGGTTCTGACACCCGCCAAGGACATCACAGATCTCTGTGGCCCCAGGTTCCTGTGGTGAGTCCTTCCTGATGTCCCCCCTTCCTCTGCTGGTTGCTCTGCCCCAGGACTCCTGAGGGGGTGGGCCTTCCGACCCCTGCTCAGGACTCCACCCCGAGCTCCCAACATCGGTGTGCTGATGGGGACGTGCTGGGGACGCAGCTTCATCCAGCCTCAGGGCAGGCTGGCCTCCGTCTCCCTCACCGTGGGGTTGCAGAACCTTCGCCGCCTGAGGGAGCTAGGCCGCCACTGCACCCCACGCCCACCCTGTGCCCAGCCCCGCCAGGCAAACAGCCCCCTCCTGCTTCTGCACCCCATCCCAGGGCAACCTCATCCTGCCCCTGGGCCGGATTTCCTGAGCGAGGTCATCGTGGAAGCCACCAGAGCCAATAAAACCCATTGATGCAGGTGGAGAGCCCATAAAACAGGCCAGCTTTCCCAGAGGGTATGTGCTCTATAACACCCCACCCATCCCACTCAAGGCCGGGACCAGGACCTGCAAGCAGTGTGGCGGCTCCGTGGCCCCCCAGCTGTCCCCAGCTTGTGCTGAGTGTGGGAGGGCTGCAGCCAGGCCGGGCTGTGTCCCCAGGTCCATTGTTTCGGGTCCACTGGCTCCTGGGGCTCAGGTCCCCCCTGGGACACTCCTGCTCTGTCCATGACAGGCCTCAGGGAGGGTCCTTTTTCCCTCCCACTCAGTGGCCCACCCTCGCCTGAGCACCAGTGTCTGTCTGGAATGGCCACCAGCTCCCTTCCCAGATCCCACCCAGACCCAGGGTGCATGGGCTGCACAGAATCCCCTGGAACATCCCACGGGCTCCTCCACCCACTGGGTCCATCAGGCCCTGGGCGTGAGCACACTTGTGTCACACACATACAGGCGTGCATGCATGCACACACTCACACCCCGTTGGGCAGGAACAGATCAGGGTGCTGCCGGCATCTGCCCTCCCCACGTGGGCGCTCAGTTGGCACGGCCCGGCCCGGGAGGGAGCTCGCGCACTGGAATCAGTCGGGAGAAATTGATCTGGGCAGAGATTTCCGAGCCATCTGCTCACTCCCAGAGTCATTCTGGGGGCCGCACTTCGCATTCAGATCCAAGTGGAGGGGCTGACCCAGGGATGTGGAGAGCAGGTGGGACAGACCTCAGTTTCTCCTGGGGCACCTACCCCTCCCTGGGATGCCGGTCCCCAGGACAGGTGAGGGTGGGTTTAACCACCAGCTCCCAGTGACTGCAGTCCCAGGCTCTGTGGCCCCACGTGGAGGAGCTGCCCCCGCCCCCTGGAACTGAGGCCAGGAGTGGCAGACAGCCTGGATGCCTGGAGGCAGCCAGCCAAGGACAGAGGCCCCAACAAGCTCCTCCCCAATTCGTTGAGGCCAAATTCAGATCCAGTCCCTCCCAGGAAGTGAGAGGAGCCCTGAGGCAAGTGCACACCAATCCTTTTAACCCTATTGTTTATACCTTCCACCACAGCATCTTCTAAGTGCCCACTGATCACTCTGGCTGAGTGTTTGCCCACCTCCTCCTATCCACACGCTCTGATTTGCACCAGCTTCTTGGCTCCAGGGACAATATTTGCTTTGGGAAGGAGTCAAACATTTATTCTCTAATTTATTCAGGAGAGTGGTTTTCAAACTCTAGCACCCTCATTATGCCACTGTTTCCAAGGTTTGGCCTCTGCCTGGGGTCAGTGGCAAGACCTGGGGCTTCCCCTCCCAGCACAGCTCCCTTGGTCCCCATGCCCAGCTGAGGGTTGGGGTCCTGCTCTGGGCTGCAGAGGAAGCTCAGGTGAGGTGGCATTCATCAGGGCTGTTCCAGGCAGGGAGTCTTCAGATTGAGTCAGTCCCTATACCCTGGACCTTTCTGCCCAGCCCTGGGTAGAGGCCCACGGCTCTCAGGGTTCCAGGCAGACATCTTCTCTGGGACCCAGTTGTGGACCTGGGGTGGTGGGAGTTGCTGGCATTTCTGGAAGGTAGTTGGGATCACTCCAGTCTGGGGGGCACAGAAATTCCTGGCATTCGCCGGCGTTTGCATCCACCCACATAGTCTGTTCCAGCCGGCTGCTATTTGCGCTGAGAGGCCGCTCCCCGCACTGCTGTTTGGATATTTCTCTTCTGCTTTCATCTCCGCTCCCTCTCCAGCCCGAAGGCCCTGCTGAAAGCAGGCGACGTAACTGCATGTTCCCATGTCCTCACCCGCCCCCTTCCCAGGACAGCCTGTCCCAGTGACCCAGGCCCCCGGCACTGACCCCTCTGGACACCTGTGCTTCTGCCCCTTCACCCAGAAACCTGGGGGCTGACTCTTCACCCCCAAGCTCAGCTCCTCGCTCTCCCTCCTCACTTGCCTCCTTCCCCGCCCACTCTGACGGCGGAACTGTAGTCCCCATTTCTTGTTCCCCTCCCCAGGGGACTGCAGCTAGGAGGCAGGGAGATGGACGGGCAGGGGGTGGGCCAGCACCCTCTCTCACTGCCCTGGGGGCATTTGCAGCTTCTGTTCCTCATACCTGCCAGGTCAAAAGTCAACAAGCTCCCAGGTGCCAGGAGCCAGGGGGCACGGGCCATAGCCCAGTACATTCGGAGTCTTTAATTTCACAGTGTGGCACTTGGCGCTGATCAGGTGGTGCAGGGCTGACCCCAGGCGGGACACATGTGGCGAGAGGGTGGGAGCTGGGTGGGTGGTCACTAGCTCACACTAATGGCCGCTCCCTTGGTCTGGGAGGCTGACACAGGCTGACACAGGGCTGGGAGGTCGTGACGCCCTGACCATTGCCTGGGACCCCCGGGGCTGCTCCCACCCCCTCCCGCCCAAGACCCCGGAACCCCTCCCTGCCTGCGCAACAAGAACAGACGGGTGGAAGCGGCAGCTCGTCACTGCAGAACCACCTACAACCTCACCCCAGGCAGCGGCCCTCAGTCCGAGGAGAGTGTCCAGGCTGCTGAAGAGCACCTCAGCAGGTCCCCGAATCCCCGGGAAAGGCTTGGCCCGGCGAGGACTCCCACCCGAGGCCCTCACAGTCTGCTGGTCTGCATGAGCCCATTGGCCTCTGAGCTGCGTGCGGCCAGAGTAGCCTCCTGTAGCTGGCTGCTCTTCTCGGGCTGTGGCTCCATGACATCCACATCCTCAGTGCCGTAGCCCTTTTGGAAGCACAGAACCTTCCGGAAGCTCTGGCGGAAGTTGTCAGAGAGGAAGCCATAGAGCACGGGGTTGGCACAGCTGTTGGCATAGGACAGGATGACCACGAAGAAGTAGGCACCAGCGGCAGCGGGCTCCTCGGGCAGGACGACGGCCAGGTTGACGATGTTGATGATGAAGAAGGGCAGCCAGCAGCCCACGAACACCAGCACCACCACCACCACCATGCGTGTCACCTTGCGCTCCGAGCGCCGCCTCGTGGAGCCCACACGCACGCCCGAGGCCTTCACTTTCACCACGATGAGCAGGTAGCACAGGCAGATGACCAGCAGCGGCCCAAAGAAGCCCAGCACAGATGTGTAGATGATGAAGACGGCGCCCCACAGACCCACGGGCTCTGGCCAGCTGAGGTTGCAGGTGTCCCAGCCCTCCTGGATGTCCGCGAAGACCACCAATGGCAGAGACATGAGCAGGGAGAAGGCCCAGACTGCAGCGCTGGCCAGCTTGGCCACCCGCGGGCGGCGCCACTGCGTGGAGCGGATGGGGTGGACCACGGCCAGGTAGCGGTCCACGCTCATGACGGTCAGGCAGAAGATGCTGGTGAACTGGTTGATGCCGTCCAGCGTCATGACCAGGCGGCACAGCACAGGGCCGAAGGGCCAGTAGGAGACAGCGTTCTGCGTGGCCAGGAAGGGCAGCCCCAGCATGAGGAGCACGTCGGCCACTGCCAGGTTGAGGATGTAGATGTTGGTGACGGTCTTCATCTTGGCGTGGCGCAGCACCACGTAGATGACCAGCGCGTTGCCGCCCAGCCCCACCGCGCACACCAGCAGGTAGAGCACTGGCACCACCACCGCTCGGGCCCCCGGCGAGGGTGCCAGTCCTGCCATCGTCCGGTTCCCGCCGCCTCCGCTGGTCTGCCACTCAGTGGCCATGGAAGAGGCATTCCAGCTGGTTGGTCTGGAGGTGGGGAACAGAGGCTCCATGGCCACAAGGGCAGGATACTGTCCTTCCTGCAGTAGAAGAAGGGAGGATATGGGCAATTAATGGGACATCCAGGCACTTCCTCCCCCACCCCCGCCCCCCACCCCCGGCCACCCCAGGAGGCGCAGGATTACCCCAGTCATAGGGTAAACACGATTATCCATGTTCGACTTGGCTGGGAATCACATTAGGCAAATTGTTTGGAAAACGAGCCCAGAGAGGAAGGAGCAAGGGGACAGCGACCTGAGTTGAGACACCGACATGTCATCTGTTGATACTGCAGTGCCTGGCAGAGACCTGACCATCCCTGTATCCCCCACCTTCCCGGGGTGGTCCCCCGATTGGCCACAGCCGTCCTCCGTCTGAGGCCAGCACCGTCTCAGTGCAGCGTCACTACTCCCATCTGGCAGGTAAGGGACTGAGTACGGCAGGTGTTACCTCCCAGGGACCCTCGGGGACCCTCCCCAGAGTCAGGAGGAATAATTAACAGGCCAAGACATCGCTGGGCACAGCGGGTCCTTCACATCCAGGATGCCACCTGGAAGCGCAGCCACGCCCACTGAGCCCTGCTCTCCTGTGCGACCCCAAAGCCGACTCCGGGTGACTTCATAACCAGCAGGAGGGTGCCAGGCCTTTCGCGTGGCAAGGAGCTAGATCTCAAGCTGCACAGGCTTTGCCGGTGTCCACCTGGTTCCCGTGAACACCATCCCCTGGTGAGCCGCTTCTGTGTCACCCCCACAGAGCCCCAGCCTTGTGGTCCCAGAGCAGTTGGTTTCCCTGCCCCGCACAGCTGCCAGCCAGCCCGCTCGTGGCACCATGAATGTCCCCCCTGCGGAGGGAAGGACCCGAGAGACTGCGGCACGACGTGCTGTCACCACAGCGTACCGCTCGCTCCACGTGCTCCATGGGGGGCCCATCGCCTCTACAGCTGCGGCGGCCTTTCTCCAGAAGGGACCTCCACACACGCTGCACACTAGGGGACACAGTGAGCAGGCAGAGCGTTGCGGCAGATGACAGCCCGCGCCGCAGGCCAGGGGGACGCCTGTGCCCGGGAGAGAGTGTGGACGGGCACAGATGGGGAGAGCAGGTTCGAAGGAAAGACTGCAGCTGTGTGCGGGATTTCACAGAGACAGCTGAGGCAGAGATGGGAAACCTTACGTCTGCCGTCCAAGGCGTGGACACGCATGCATTGGCTGTACAGCTTTTGTGCTTTTCTGTATGTTTGAAATAGTTCATAAAAATAGTGATGCTCGCCCTGACTGGTATAGCTTAGTGGACTGAGCACAAGCCTGGAAACCAAAGTGTTGCTGGTTCGATTCCCAGTCAGGGCACATGCCTGGGTTGCAGGCCAGGTCCCCAGCGTGGGATGTGTGAGAGGCAACCACACACTGATGTTTCTCTCTCTTTCTCCTTCCCTTCCCCTCCCTAAAAATAAATAAATAGAACCTTTTAAAAATGGCTAAGCTCAAGAGAAAATAAGCACCTCCACGAGCAGGAGGGAGAGATGAAAGGGGACATGAGTGTGAGTGGTGCCTCGAGCCCCCGGGGGATGGGGGTTAGCAAGGGGGACTCAGGCAAGGTCCCGAAAGGGGCTGGAAAGGGTGGTGATGACCCAGCTGGGGTCGCTCAGGCCCAGCCGCTCCCTAGAGCCCTGCTCGGCGGACCCACAGTGCCCCCGAGCTGTCTCGGCCCAGAGGATTCACAGAGCAGCTGTCGGTCCTGAGCCGGGGGAGGCAACGCGGAAGTCTGCTGGGTAAGTGCTGGGGGCGGGTAAGCCCGGAACATTGGCAGTGACAGAAAGAAACTCTCTGCCCTCGAGGTCAACACACCAGAACTGAAGTCGGCCCGCCCGACAGATTCGTTTCAGGATAATAGTATTATAATGTAACAAGCACGTCCAAGATATGGTCAATATGTTTCGGATCCTCAATTAGGCATGGATAAAAACATTGCGAAATAAATCTGGCTTCTGTTTAAGAAGTAAACGAGCAGGTATGTATTTTTGAAAATTACAACTCCTGGGTGTGAAAAATCACCATTTGGGAAAAATTGTATCCAGTCTGGACACGGTTGAAGAGAGAATCGGTGAACCAGAAAAGGAGCCGAGGGTGCTCCTCAGAATGTGGTGTGGAGGCGGGGCCGGGGGGCTGCAGGGGGTTCTGAGCACGGGGAAGGGCATGGACCCACTACTCAGAGAAGAGACCTGGGCACCGGTGGAGCTGACCCACGACACGAGCCTGCTCAGAAGCACAAACCTGTCCTGAACGGAGTAAAGGAAACGCAAAATAGCATCACAGTGGGTCTGGGGAGCATCAGGAATAGGGAGCAAATCCTGAAGAACGTCAGCGGGGAGACAGGAGGAAGCCCTTGAGGAGTGAGGACCGGTACAGGCTCCGCAGCTACGGAGCCAAAGACGCCGTGGGGAGAGAACTCTCACCCGAACTCCTTGCCGGGAGGGTTCGGAGACGGTTTCTGTTTTTGCCGAATTTGCCGCTCCTGGTGCTGAGCACCCCTTGCTGGGTGTTGTGACCTGGTGTGAGGCATATGACAAAAACCCTCTTCAAAAAAGGCAAAAGTTTGATGTTTGGGGACAATTGCATTTCAAGACAAAGGGGCCCCTTGAGCAGTGCCCAAGCCCTCAGGCAGCAGGGGTGCTGCGAGTTGGGAGACCGCGCACTCCCCCACAGTGCACCCTCAGAGAAGGGCTGCCTGCAGGCTCACTCCTGCAAGAGCGGACGGAGTCAGCCTGCTCCCCGCGCCTGACGCAAGGAGGCCCTTACTTGCATGTAAAGACCACGCAAAGAACCCTGGCTGGTGTAGCTCGGTGGATTGAGTGCAGGCCTGCGAACCAAAGGATCGCAGTTCAATTCCCAGTCGAGGCACATGCCTGGGTTACAGGCCAGTTCCCAGCAGGGGATGCACAAGAGGCAACCATACACTGATATTTCTCTCCCCCTTTCTTTCTCCTCCCCTCTAAAGATAAGTAAATAAAATCTTTTTAAAAACTAAAAAAAAAAAAAATAATTTCTTTTAAAAAAAAAGAAATGCCCAAAGTGTTTAGGCCTATTCTGCATGGGACCCAAGGGGGCATGGTGGAGAGAAGGCGCCCTCCAGAGGTGCTCTGTTCAGCCACAGTGGGACAGGGGCTCCGATGCACCCAGGGTCTCGGCTTGCAGGCATGCTGTGGCTGAGTGCACCCTTGATTCTAAATCAGACACACGCATTGTCTTCACGGAGCTCTCAGCTGCCCTGAGGCTGCTGTCAGGTGCCCAGGCGGCGCCGAGCCCAGTGGGCAGAGCAGGCTGCCAGCCCCCGCCACCCTCCCAAACACCCCACCTCCTGTGGTAGACTCGAGAGCGGTGCAGAACAAAATTAGGCCACTATTACTGCGCCTGCCTCCTGGAACATAATTTCACAGAGCCATTATTCAGAAGTGGCGATCTTAGTCACATAAATTACGCACCCAAGGGAAAATCGTCTCCGGAGCCCTTTCCACTGTGGGTGAGAAGTCAGGGGAGGGGGACTGTGGAACTGACCGTGAGCCAATGCTGGGGCCTTTCTGACTCAGAGTCCCTCCAGGAAGGGCCCGCCCGCCCACTGATGTGGCATAGGTAACACAACCCACCCCTGCAGCCCCTGCCACAGTATCCCCCTCACACTGGTCACATGATCATGGGTAAGTCATGCCACTTCCCTAAGCCTGGCTTCCAGCAATCAGAAGCTCCTATAAAATCCAATCTTGCTGAACAGGCCGAATAAGCTCAGGTGCACAAGATGCTTCCTGCGGTGGCTGGCGCACACTGGGGTCTCCATAACCCAGCATCTGCTCCCCAACATCAGGGAATGTGTCTGTCAGGGCTCCTTGGAGAAGAGGGCAGAGCCTTCCCTGGGGGCTGGGGGCAGAGATGGGTCTCAGGGCTCAAGTGCTCCCGGACCCAGCTAGGTCCAGCCTGTGTCTCCCCAACCTTGCCCGGCCAGCCCACCACGCGGTCAGCAGGAGGGAGCTGCACCCTCCACCAGGGCAGCGGCAGAGTGGAGAGGGTGCGGAGCTACCAGGGTTCATCCCAGAGCCCCCACCTCCTCCGGGAGGTGGCAGGTCCACAGGTGCCGTCCCCGCCGATTTGGAGCAGGGCAAATGTGGGGACGTCCTGGGTGAGAGGATGGGCCCCAGCACAGCCCTGCCTCCTCCAGCACAAGCTCCCCCACCCCTCCTTCGTCTTGCTGAGAGGGTGCGCTCCTGCCCTCCCCCAAACATGTACCCTCTGTCCTAGGGCAGCCTGTGGTCAGGGCTCAGATTCCTTCCCCATGGAAGGGACAGTGAGCTGGATGTGGGTGGGCTCGGGGTGCATCGGGTGGCCTACCAGTGGAGCCCCTTAAAAGGGTCTTTACACACAACGGGATGTTTCCAGGACCACTTCATTGGAAATCCAGGTCATTGCTTTACCAGGAACCAATGGCGGGTCATTGTCATTGGTGCTATCCGTCACCTTCCCCTGGGAAGCTCCCGGTTCTCCCCCCCAGTGGCCGACTGTCCCCAGGAGGCTGTTCTCCTCAGAAGAGGATGAGCTGCAGCAAGAACCGGCTGGAACTTAGAGCAGCATGAGCTCCAGGCTCTCACCCTTGCTGAGGACCCCAGGCTGGAGGGCAGGGCGGGGACAGGGGGCAAGCAGGTGGGCAGATAGGGGCCCACCTGGTCCCTGGGTGGGAAGAGGCACACAGGCGGACTTCCAGGGCACACGCTCCCTCATGGGGACAGGGTGGGAGGGCGCCAGGTCCCAGATGCCTCGCCCCAGAGAAGCCGGCGCCCCGTTTGCAACCGGCAGCCACGGTGCTCCCTCTCCTCCCCGCCCCCCCCCCCCCCAGGCCAGGGTGAAGCACTCGCCTGCAATCGATTTTCCTGTCACTGGCCGCCTCCGGTCAGAATGGTGGACCCCACCTCCCCCGACCGACCTCCTGTGCTTCCCCCCTCACACCCATTGGCTCCCACTCCCTCTGCAACTCC